GGACACAGTGGGTGAGTGCAGCCTCGGGTCCCCTTCCCCGGTCTCCGCTGTACACTGACCGGGCAGTCCCCGGCCTCTGCTGTGTCCTCCTGCTCCGGCAGTCCTCGGCCTCCGCTGTCCCCAGCCTCGGTGGTCCTCAGTACTTGGCCGTCGCCACCCCTACAGTCACCGGCCTCCCACTGTCCCCACCCTGCAGTCCCAGGCCTCCGGATCGTGGTCTCAGCTGTCCCCACCCTGGCAGTCCCTGGCCTCCCATCCCGATCACAGCTGTCCAAGGATCTTCTGTTCTCTACCCGGCAGTCCCCGGCCTCCACTGATCCCAACCCCAGGTGTCCCCAGCCTCCAGCCTCGAGTCCCCAGCTCCCGTCGTCCCAAGCCATCCCCAGTCCCCGGGGCTAGGAAGCCGGGCGCCCCCAGGAGCGGCCACGGGCTCCTGGTGGCGCGGAGAGGCGTGCCCCTTCGCCCCAGGGAAGGCGAGTGTTGATTGGAGAAGGCGTTGTTAGTAAAAATAAGGAACTTGGTTTTCTTCTCTGGACCGGGAAGTAAATTCTCCCTGCAGCTCAAGATCTGTTTAAAACCGGGAGCAGTAATTGAAAAAGGGACCTAAATGCATAGGATGCTAATCCGATGCTTCTCTGCTTGGCGCAGCTGCATCGCTGAAGGGGAAGAAAAACAAACCCTGTGATATGTTTTTAAACTTGCCTTGGCTCATCCAAGATCACTCCCAGTCCCTCGAGGAGGGCTCTCGGTGTCTTTGATTGCGCTGGGAGGCGTGGTTCGGCAGTGCAGAACCTTGTCTCCTGGGTAGGCTACACACCCTGGCTGTTACATAGATCAGTACACATATAAACTATGCATTCTTTCCTTGTTCATTTTTATAGACTGTTCTTTTGCATTCGTCACGTAGTTTGTGAATTCACGATTTATAGAACGGCCCAGAGTCTACTCCAGGGCAGAGACTGTAATTCATATCCCGCTACTCAACAGCGGATGGGCGGTGGACATATGAATTGTAGGATGGACTTGGGACTCTTGTGGATATCTGACCCGGAACAACCGTTAGAGATGGTTTGTGCTTTGCTGATAAAATGGTTCAGGTTTAGGCTGGTAAGGGAATACATTTTCTTTTTCTTCTTTCAGTGGTATAGCGGATTGGTTTTTAAGACCTGAGATAGGCTTGGTAAGAGCATTACCACTGACCTACATCCCCAGCTCTCCTCTTTCTTTCTTTCTTTCTTTCTTTCTTTCTTTCTTTCTTTCTTTCTTTCTTTCTTTCTTTCTTTCTTTCCCTTTTAAGACAGGGGTTCCCTAAATGCCACTTGGAACTCTTTGTAGCCCAGGCAGGCTTTGAACTTTCCATCTTCCTGAGTGGCTGGGGGTGGGAGGATGAACTAACAGGCCCTGCTAAGATAATACTTTTTAAGACAAGCGTGGTTTAAGCGACACACAGAAAGTCTCATTGCTACAGTGTCCTAGAATCAGAAACCAGCACCCACTATATATTGTGGTTGTAAAGAGGCACACAGACTGGAGCTGAGCTACATTCAGGAAATGTTGAAAGACTGTGTCAGAGTTAGGGAACTCTACACACTTGAGGTTCTTGGCTAAGATATTTCTTCCTAGGCATCACATCTGCAGTCAGCTTGCCCCTAAGGACAGGATTCCTATAACCTAAAGGCTGAAGAAAGTGATTGTTTCCCTGGGGGTCCTGGAGAGCTACTGCTATGCAAAGGAGACCAGACCCAAATAAAGATCATCTTCGATTGGCACTTGAGACTAGTTCATGATGCCAGTGACCTTTTAAGAGTCGTAGGTGATTGATTACAAAGTGCTCTGCATGTGACTGTATTACAAACAGTGCAGAA